TTTTTTTTTTTTTTTTTAGTCAGAGTCTCACTCTGTTGCCCAGGCTGGAGTGCAGTGGCAATTGCTAATTGGAACTTTGCATTATGGGCAGACAACATGTAAACATGTAATTTGAGTCGGAGTCTCACACTATGTCACTCAGACTAGGGTGCAGTGGCATGCTCATGACCATTGCAGCCTCGATCTGTTGGGCTCAGGCGATCCTTCCACCTCAACCTTCCAAGTAACTGGAACTACAGGCATGTGCTACCATGCCTGGCTAATATTTTGATTTATTGTAGAGACGAGTTCTCACCAAAGTGCTGGGATTATAGGCGTGAGCCACCACGCCTGATCTGAAGTTGATTTTAATGTTAGGATATTAATTATAATTCCAAGGGCAACCACTAAGAAAGTAACTAAAAAAATAGTAACAGAAACAATAAAAGAATTAAAGTGGCATATCAGATAATATCTATTTAACGTAAAAGAAGGCAGTAATGAAGGAATAGAAAAACAAAGATACCGGACATGTAAAAATTGCATGACATTATGGCAGATATAAATTCTACCTTATTATTTAATGGATTAAACATTCCAATCAAAAGGCAAAAATTGGAAAATGGATATTTTAAAAACATGACCCAACTATATGCTGTCTTTATTTATTTATTTATTAATAACTTTATTTATTTTATTATTTTTTTTCAGTTGAAGTCTCACTCTGCCACACAGGCTGGAGTGCAGTGGCATGCTCATGACCACCGCAGCCTTGACCTACTGGACTCAGGTGATCCTTCCATCTCTAAGTAGCTGGAAGTACAGGTGCATGCTATGACACCTGGCTAATTTTTTAATTTATTGTAGAGACAAGGTCTCACCAAGTTGCCCAGGCTGGTCTCGGACCCCTGGGCTCAGGCAATCTTCTCACCTCTGACTCCCAAAGTGCTGGGATTATAGGTGTGAACCATGACTCCCGGCTCAAGAGATACACTTTAGATAAAAAACACAAATAGTTTGAATATAAAAGTAAAACGACAGAAAAAACATGTCTAACCAAATAGAAAATATTTCAAATAGGCTGAAGGTAAAATTGTAAGAAGATATGACAATACCACACAAATAGTAACATACACAAAAAAGAGCAAGGGTGGCTATATTAGTATCAGATGAAATAGACATTAAGACAAAAGTATTACTAGACAAAGGACATTACATAATAGTAAAAGGGTCAATCTATCAAGAAGACATAACAATTATAAGCATATTTGCACCTAACAACAGAACCCCAATATATATGGAGCAAAAATTGACAAAGTGAAGGAAGAAATAGATAATTCAACACTAATAATTGAGACTTTAATATCTCACTTTCAATAATGTATAGAAAAACAAGATAAAAGATCAACAAGGAAATAGAAGACATGAAAAACACTATAAGGCAACTATACTAAGCAGATATATATATAATAATTCATCCAACAACAGCAAAATACAAATCCTTCTTAAGTGCCCATGGAACATTCTCCAGAATATATGTTAAGCTATAAATCAATCTCAGTAAATTTTAAATGATTGAAATAATAGAAAGTATGTTGTCTGCCCACAATAGAGTAAAATTATAAATCAATAACAGAAGGAACTTTGAAGTCCCCAGATATGTGTGAATTAAACAACATTCATTATTATTATTATTATTATTTTGAATAGTAGTCTCGCTCTGTCACCCAGGCTAGAGGGCAGTGGCACACTCATAGCCACCACTGCCTCAACCTGCTGGGCTCAGAAGATCCTACCGCCTCAGCCTTCCAAGTCGCTAGAACCACAGGCATGCGCCACCACACCTGGCTAATTTTTTTGATTTATTGTAGAGACGAGGTCTCGCCAAATTGCCTAGGCTAATCTCAAACTCCAGGACTCAGGCAATCCTCTCACCTCTGCCTCCCAAAATACTGGGATTATAGGCATGAGCCACCATGCCTGGCAACAACATACTTTTAAATAACCAATAAGTCAAAGAAGAAATCACAAGAAAAATTAGAAACACTCTGAGATAATTGAAAACAAAAACATAGTATGTCAAAACTTATGGGATATAGCTAAAGCAGTGCTTAGACCAAAAATTATAAAGTCCATATTAAAAAAGAAGAAAAATTTCAAACCAATGATCTAATCTAATTTTTTTCATTAAGAAACAAACAAGGGCCAGGTGTGGTGGCTCACGCATGTAATCCCAGGACTTTGGGAGGCAGAGGCAAGAGGATTGCTTGAACCCATGGGTTTGAGACTAGCCTGGGCAACATGGTGAGACCTCATTACTACAATAAATCAAAAAATTAGCTGGGCATGGTGGCGCATGCCTGTAGTTCCAGCTACTAGGAAAGCTGAGGCGGAAGGATTGACTGAGCCCAGCAGGTCGAGGTTGTAGTGGCCGTGAATGTGCCACTGCACTCCAGCCTGGGCGACAGAGTGAGACTGACTCAAAAACAAAAAAAACAAACAAAAAAAAGAAAGGAAAAAAGAAACTAATAATAATAATAAAAAAGAGCAAACTAAACCCAAAGCAAGCAGAAGGGAGAAAATAATAAAAATTAAAGTGGAGATAAAAGAAGCAGAGAATAGTAAAACATTAGAGAAAATAACCAAAATCAAGCTTGTTCTTTGAAAAAAATCAACAAAATTGTCCAATGTTGAGCCAGGTGCAGTGGCTCACGCCTATAATCCTAGCACTTTGGGAGGCTGAGGTGAGAGGATTGCCTGAGTCCATGGACTGGACATTGGCAAGACCTCATCTCTACAATAGATCAAAAAATAAACCAGGTGCAGTAGCACACATCTGTAGTTGGAAGGCTGAGGCAGAAGGATCACCTGAACCCAGCAGGTTGAGGCTGTGATGGCCATGAGCCTGGGTAATAGAGTGAGACTCCAACTAAAAAGAAAAAATTGTCCAACTTCTAGCTACACAGACCAAGAACAAAAGGGGGATTATTAAAATCAGTAATGAAAAAAGAAACATTAAACTAACATTACAGAAATAAAAAATAGTAATAAGGAAGTACTATGAACAATTGTATGCCAAAAATTAGATAACCTAGATGAAATGAATACATTCCTAGAAAGATACAAAACATCAAAACTAACTCAAGTAGAAACAGAAAAGCTGATTATACCCATAAAAAGTAAAGACATTGAATTAGTAATCACAAAACTTTCCACAAAGAAAAGCCAAGGACCAAATGGCTTCATTGGTGAATTCCTTCAAGTTTTTTTTTGGAAGAATTAACACAAACGCTTTACAAATTCTTCAGAAAAACATGAGAACATGTCCTAACTCATACTACAAGGTCAGTATTATCATGATATCAAAATCAGAGAGATACTACTTCTTGTAAATCCTACAGATAAATATCTCTTATGAATATAGGATCAAAAGCTCTCAGCAAACCAAATGTAGCAATATATAAAAATGAATTTACACCGTGACCAAGTGAGGCTTATCCTAAGAATGAGTTTCTTTCAATACACAAAAATCAATCAATGTAATATCATATTATATAACAAAAGACAAAAAGCACATTATTATCTCAATAGATAAAGAAAAATCATTAGACAAAATCTATAACTCTTTCATGGTAAATCATCTTACAAACTAGAAATAGAAAGAAATGTCTTTAATTTGAAAAGAACATCTACAAAAACACCACAGCTAACTTACTCATTCATACTTTGTGAAGGACTGAAAGCTTTCCCCCTTAGATTAGGAACAAGACAAGGATGTTTCCTCCCACCACTTGTGTTCAACATTTTGCTGGAGTTCTAGCCCAGGCATTTAACAAGAGAAATAAGCAAAGAGTATCCAGTTTGAGGAAGAAGCAAAATGATCTCCATTTGCACATGACATAATCTTGTACATAGAAACTTACTTCCAAATGATCCACAAAACACTACTAGAAGTTATAAATGAGTTTAGTAAGGTTGCAAAATATAAGCTCAATACCTCAAAATCAATTATAGTTTTATTTTAGTAGCGAACAATCTGAAGATGAAACTCAGACAAGAATTCTACTTACAATAGCATCAAAAGAATAAAGTACTTAGGAATAAGAGCATATTTATACACTGAAAAGGTCATTGGAAAAAGGAAGTAAAAAGACATTCTGAGTCCTTTGATTTGAAGACTTAATACTGCCAAGGTGGCAATACTATCCAAATTTTTCTACAGATTCAACACAATCCCCATCTAAATTTCCACTCTTTTTTCCCCTTTTTTTGTGGAGATCGCCAAGCTGACCCTAAAATTCATATGGAAATGCAAGGAACTCACAACAGCCAAAGCAATCTTGAAAAAAAAAGAAACAAAGTTGGAGGACTCACACTTCCCAATTTCCACACTTAACACAAAGCTACAGTAATCAAGATACTGACAGAAAGATAAACATATAGATAAATGGAATAGAACTGATGAGAAGCAGAGACTAAAAATCAATAGGAGACACAATAGCCCTCTCACAGTTTTATCTTCTGTCTCTTTCCCTCTTTTCTTTCACGTTCCCTCCTCCTCCTCCACCTCCTTGTTTTCCTCTCTCTACTTTCCCCCATCATTTTTACTGCCTCTCTCTGCACGCCTCCTTCATTCTCCTCTGTCTCAGCAGATTGGAGGTGATGAGCACACGGATAAACATGCCTTCAGACCACTGGGCCTCCCCACAACCTGCCTCCCTCTCACACGTTCCTGGTTTACACATATCCCAGTTCCACATTCCCAGGAAAGAGAATAAAATTGGCCCAGCTTGGTCCAGGTGCCCAGGCCTGTCCAGTCCAATCAAGTGAGACTAGGAACTGAAGTCATCAAGTACAGTCATCGAGTACAATATTGGCCACTTGGTATTCTGCCAAAAGGAGGACTATCTACTTTGCTAAGTTAGAAGCAGAGCTGGGGAGTATCATAAGCTTCTTGATTCTTGAATCACTTTCTATAATCCCTGTCATCCTTCCCCTCAGGGATGCCACATAGAGTTGCTCAAGTTGTGCACTGCACAACCCTATGGGGGTGCAATACACGTTTTAGGCACTGTAGATATAAATCTTTAATCTACCTACTTCTGAGAGGTGGACTCTGACCAAGTAAAAGTCTTGGGGAATGAAAATCCTTTTCTAATTGAAGCAAAAATGCCAGATAGGCTAGGGATGGCCCTCCCTTCCCCTCTTCTCCTCTCTCGGTCCCTCTGGAGCAAAGAAAGAATTAGGGGTGAGGAGCAGCTACCTTAGGCCTTGACTCTAAGATCTGACCTGTCCAATTCCCCCACAGGTGGGTGCCTCCTTGTTTGCCAGCAATGTCGGAAGTGGGCACTTCGTTGGTCTGGCAGGGTCAGGTGCTGCTGCGGGCATTTCTGTATCTGCTTATGAGCTTAATGTAAGTATTTTACTAAGGACATAGCCATCCACCTTCACCCAGTAGGTAGACCCTAGGTAAAAATTGTGTGAATGCCAAGCTCTTTAAAGATAGAATGATGCTTTTTGGAAAAACAAACAGGTGGTTTCAAGGGCTTCCCAGTCAGCAAAATTCAGTTTGGTCTGTATGTCTCACACTTCTCTGTGTTTACTTGGGGGTCCATAAGGCCACAAATCCAACAAATAGGGGTATGGAAAAGAAAGCTCAGAATTTCCCCCTTACAAATGCAGAAGGAAGAGGGTTTCCTGGGACTGGAGGGTATTTATGTGAATTTTAGATATCAATTGGCCATCACAAAAATTACATAGCTCAGTCATTTTTTATTTTTTGGCTATCCTAGAGATATCTGAGAGGGGATATACTCTTCTACATAGCAGGCTTATTCGGGATATGTTTTTTTCTTTCTTTCTTTTTTTAAGAAACAGAGTTTTGATCAGGTGTGGTGGCTCAAGCCTGTAATCCCAGCACTTTGGGCAGCCGAGGTGAGAGGACTGCCTGAGCTCAGGGGTTCAAGATCAGCCTGGGCACTTAGTGAGACCTCGTCTCTACAATAAAGCAGAAAATAAGCCAGGTGTGGTAGCACACGCCTGTAGTTCCAGCTACTTGGAAGCCTGAGGTGGAAGGATCACCTGAGCCCAGCAGGTCGAGGCTGCGGTGGCCATGAGCATGCCACTGGCACTCCAGCCTGGGTGACAGAATGAGACCCCAACTAAAAAAAAAAGAGAAAGAAACAGAGTATTGCTTCACCCAGGCTGGATTGCAGTGACATCATCATAGTTCACTGCACCCTCAAACTCCTTGGCTCAAACGATCTTCCCTCCTCAGCCTCCTGAGCAACTAGGACTATAGGCACACATCACCACACCTGGCTGATTTATTAATTTTTTTGTAGAAATGGGTGTCTCACTCTGTTGCCCAGGCTGGTCTTGAATTCTTGGCCTCAAGTGATCCTCCATCCTTCAGTCTCCCAAAGTGTTGGGATTACAGGAGTAACTACCATCCCCTGCCTAGGATTTGATTTTGATTGCAGGAAAGGGAGTTACACTTAAATAATGACCTTTATTTTCATAATGAGTAACTTATTTTTTTTAGTGCTTATTGTATGCCAGGCACAGACTTCAGTATGTGACATACACTATCAAATTACAAGATTCGATTACAGGCCGGGCTTGGTGGCTCAGCCTGTAATCCCGTGCTTTGGGAGGCCAAGGTGAGTGAACTGCCTGAGCCCACAGGTTCGAGACCAGCCTGGACAACTTGACGAGACCTCATCTCTACAATAAATCAAAAATTAGCCGGGCGAGGTAGCATGCCTCTAGCTCCAGCTACTTGGAAGGCTGAGGCGGAAGGATCGCCGGAGCCCAGCAGGTCGAGGCTGCGGTGGCCGAGAGTGGCCACTGCCCTCCAGCCTGGGCGACAGAGTGAGACTCCAACTCAAAAAAAAAGACAAAAAGATTCAATTATAGATTAGAACCAGGCTGCCTGGGTTCACTTCCTGACTCCAACATTTATAAGCTGTGTGACCTTGGGCAAGTAATTTAACTTCTCTGGGCCTCACGTATAAAATAGGGATATTAATGGTACCTGCCATGGAAAGTCACTGTGAGAATTAAATAAATTAATGCTTGTAAAGGGTGCAGAGGGGTGCCTGGCATGTAGTAAGTGCTCGGTATGTATCAACTCACCTGTTTCCTTGCTATACCTAGTGAGGCACTGGGATGCCCATTTCACAGGTGAGAAAAATTGGTCTCAAAGGCCAGAGTTAACTGTCCCAGCATCACCAGTTCCTCATCTATGTGGCCAGTCTTTGAGTCAGTCTTGTTTTGACAGCTGTCCAGGAAGGGAGGGAACATAAGTGTATGAAAGGACGATGTGAGCCAGGCTCCGTGGCTCAGCCTGTAATCCCGCGCCTTTGGGAGGCTGAGGGGAG